ATCCGGAAATCAATGGCATTCTTATACACCAACAATGAACTCTCAGAGAGAGAAACTAAAAAAGCAATACCATTTACCATTGCAACTAAAAAAATAAGATACCTAGGAATAAACTTAACCAAGGATGTAAAAGACCTGTACTTGGAAAACTATGTGACAGTGAAAAAAGAAATAGAAGAAGATTTAAACAAGTGGAAGAATATACCACGGTCATAGATTGGAAGAATTAATATCATTAAAATGTCCATACTACCCAAAGCAATTTATAAATTCAATGCAATTCCTATTATTTTAACCAACAGCATATTTCACATATCTAGAACAAATATTTCGAAAATTTATATGGAACCAAAAAAGACCCTGAATAGCTGCAGCCATCTTGAGAAAAAACAACAGTGTGGGAGGGATCACATTACCGGATTTCAAACTGTACTACAAAGCCATTGTAATCAAAACGGCCTGGTATTGGTACAACAACAAATATAGATCAATGGAACAGAACAGAGACCCCAGAAATAGACCCACGCCATTATGGTCAGTTAATATTTGACAAAGGAGGCAAGAGCATCCAATGGAGTAAAGACAGTCTCTTCAATAAGTGGTGCTGGGAAAATTGGACAGATAACATGCAAAAGAATGAAACTAGACTACCAACTTTCACCATACACAAAAATAAACTCAAAATGGGTAAAAGACTTAAATGTAAGTCACGAAACCATAAAAATCCTGGAAGAAAACATAAGCAGTAAAGTCACAGACATCCCACGTAGTGGACTTTTCACTGATACATCTCCTAGGGCAAGAGAAACAAAAGAAAAAATAAACATATGGGACTACATCAAACTAAAAAGCTTCTGCACAGCAAAAGAAAACAGCCTCAAAATACAAAGGAACCTCACGGTCTGGGAAAACATATTTGCCCAGGATGCATCTGATAAGAGGCTAATTTCCAAAGTGTACAAAGAACTCATATTACTCAGCAAGAGGAAGACAGACAACCCAATTAAGAAATGGGCAAAGGACCTGAATAGACACTTCTCCAAAGAGGACACACAGATGGCCAAGAGACACAGGAGAAAATGCTCAACATCGCTAATCATCAGGGACATGAAAATTAAAACCGCAATGAGGTGTCACCTCACACCTGTCAGAATGGCTCCATCAGCAAATCAACAACCGACTTGTGCTGGCGAGGGTGTGGAGAAAGGGGAGCCCTAGTACACTGCTGGTGAGAATGCAGACTGGTGCAACCACTATGGAAAACAGTATGGGGGTTCCTAAAAAAATAAAAAATGGAGCTGCCAGTAATCCCACTTCTAGGAATATACCCTAAGAATCCTGAAACATTAATCAGAAAGAATATATGCACCCCTATGTTCATAGCAGTGCAGTTTACAATAGCTAAGATCTGGAAACAGCCCAAGTGCCCATCAGTAGATGAGTGGATAAAAAGCTGTGGGACATTCAC